GCCGCGAAGCTTTGGCTTCCGGGGCTTATCGGGGAAGTGGAATCGCTGAAGTTATCTGATAAATGGAAGTGGTTAGTGCGTGGTGACAACTGGGCTGAATAGGGTCACGACCCTGGGTCTGCTCATGAGCGCGCGTGTCTTGCTGGCGTAGAGTCTGTATGATTTAAGAAATGAGAAAAACCTTGTTTGTTTGTTTTTTTTTGTTCCACATAGATCTGCGGGTCCGGACCTTGGCGCTAGCCTTCCCCTCCAGCTTGATACTCCTGCCCTGCTTTCTCAGCCTTCCTTTATCCTCTCGACCAACCCTTGCATCACCAGTGCCGGGACCAGCACAAGCTACAGCATGGTCCCGTCTCCACCCTCCTGCCACAAGTCTTTGATCCCTGTTCATCCCAGCGCTATCAGCTCCACAACAAGCATCGCATCTGCCAGAGAAGACCAAAAACCCTCTACCTCCACCGGTCACCCTTCCGCGTTTGCTGCCTTCCACGCGAGAAGCGCGTCCGCACCCTCAAAACAAGCCAGTCAAAGGCTCGTCGTTCCTGAGGTCCCCGACAGTGCGGTTCCTGGAGGGGCAGTGGGACAGTACAGCAGTGCTGCCAGCGATATCGGCCTCGCCCTTTTCGGCGTAGAGCTCGTTAACAAAGCTTTGTTTCAAAGTTTAATGGAAGAAAACAGTTGCTGTTTGCTTTACATTGTGGAAGATCAGCTGCAAGAGGTGGAACGTGCCTTCAGTGCAGAATTTTTGGCCAATACCAGGGTGCTGCGGCAGCAAGATGCTGACATTGTGCTCAATGATCAACGGTACAGTCCACAGCTAGCTTCCGTGCATGTTTCTTCACTGATATAAGACTTAGGGCAAGTGTCTTTGCACTAAGCTTTTTTCCTGTGTCTGGAAAACTCTACTGGAGTAGTAGTGTGCCCAGACCTTGCTTCTCTGCCCACAAATCTTCAGCCCTGTGAGAGGGAAACTCCGGTTTCTTTGTGGGACCAAGGGGCTGTTGCAGGCTAAGTCAAATTATGGTCTACATGATAGATTGCATATGTTTCCGGATTTCCTGGGAAGCTTAGCTTGACTTCTATGTCTGGGGTTTCTGGAGGAATCGATGAAAGCAGGCAGTTCTGTGGAAGAGTACAAAAAAATTATTTTCCTGTCTTCTCGTGTAGCAACATATAACGTGCCTTCCTGCTGCCTACCAGCTTTTCTGCCTCAGAGCAGCTGGCTGATTTTAGTGGCTCTTTTGAAACTGTCTCAAAAAAGCAAGAGTACTGTAAATATAGACGACTGTGGCATTTTGCTCTAGAGTTGAACCGATTAAGTAATATCTAGTGCTGTGGTTACAGTCAGTTCTTAAATTAGTATTGTAAGTATTGTTACAAAATGGAAAGCCAAAGCTTTTCAGAAAGACAGACTTGAGATTAGAAATGAAAAAATGAAAGTACCCTAAGATGAACTTCTCATGTTTTCAACAGTTCTACCGCATAAATATTTTTCAATATTTCTGCACGTTTTTAACTAGCAGAATTCAAGTAGTTTGCAAAGACATCTTTAAAAGACTTTCTTCTCTAAGATACAAGAAAGCCAATGCAATTTAACTGTGTCTATTTTCATTTTAACTAAGAACATGTGTTCTTTCTCTAACTACATGCTTTTAAGAAAACCTAAGGAAGTTACTGACTTTGAATTAAGAGATTTTGTTAAAGCTTGGCTTCCTGTATTACTGTCTCTTCCAAGCATTACTGCTTCAGACTATGCCACGTGGCACGTAGACAAGCAGTCCCTTTCCTAACATAGCTTTTTGTACCAGATGGATGGGGTTTTATGCCTTGTTTAACTCTTCCTCAAAATGTAAGAAAACTAACTTGAAAAATAACTGTATCTGAAAGGAGAATTGGGAGCACTGTTATTCCAGTAGAACTGTTGTCTTCACTGAAGAACTTTCTTTTAACTCCTGCAGTGTCTCTGGAGCCATCATTTGTTCACCACCTGAGGAAGCTTCTGAGATTGTAATAGATGCCTTACGAGCTGGTAAGACGAACTGCTCCAAATTCAGCTTTTATTTGTAATCAGTAACACACATTGAAGTAGGCCTTGTATGTTCGTACGCTTGCAGAGTGTGAAATTTATCTTTTTATAAAAGAGTTAAAAAAAAAAAATCAGTAAAACTTTTTGTTTGTAATGGCTATATCAGAAAGATGAGCATCATAATCAGGTTTGTAAAGTTCCTGTTTCCATACTCAGCTGGAGATCCAGTAATCCACTAGCTGTGAAGCCCTTTGAAAGTAGGGACATCTTAATATTTGCCTCGTGCATCTGTCTCCTCCACTCCGAATTTTATAGCAGCTGCAACAGTTTTTCACGTATAAATAGAAGGAAAGCCTGAATCACTCAACTGGTATGTTTTCTGTTGACTGCCAACACTGGTAAAAATGGCTGTAGAATCGGAGTAAGATGATCAAAAAGCAGAGCGCCAGGAGACTTAACCAGCAGAGTAGGAATTCTAGTTTGTGGGTTGTAGCTTTGTTAATACCCAGTACAAGCAACACTGGTAACAGTGCTGTTTAACTTGTTGTTATTAACAAAGGTCCTCCCAGTAGCATCTATAGCATCTATCCTAGGAATAATTACACCTTTCCATTCACTAGTCACTTGTGCTTTTAACTCTGTACTTTACAGCAGTGTCCCTTGAGGTGTACAGACCGTTTAATTGCATAATTAAAGAGAAATTAGTCCACTAATGACAGTGATGTTATTGAGTCAAACACAAATGGAGTTTGTACTATGCTGTTCTCACTACAGCCACTTCAGATACCTAGGCCTAGAAGTACAACTAGGAATAAAAAGAAAGCTAGCTATAAAAACAGTCTGACTTCTTGGGATTTGTAAATAGTTAATGAAACCATAGCCGCTGGCAGCAAAAAGGGGATTAGCATCATCATTGTAAAAGCCGTGCTTCGGTTTCGCGAAACATGCTTTCTAGACTGTAATGACTTGTATGCAATATTGCAAGATAAAAAACGTTTAGCGCAGATTGTGTCCTGCCTTCAATTCTATATTCTGTGACGTTTTGCATAGGGAAAGGTGTATTTTGCGAGAGGCTACCCAGTTTAGACAGGCAGACAGCAGAAGCTTGTTTTGATGAAGCTGACAGATGTGGAAGACCATTGGTTTGTGGATTCTACAAGTAAGACCAGCATTTTTCTTCTGATCTATACTTGTTAAGAAGTGTATGTCTGAAAGTAGCACTGATTTCCTCAAATAAACTTTGTTTCATTGCTGCTTGTTAATGTTCTTCAGCAGGGAGTTTGGATTTGATTAATTCTTCATGCTTAATGTAGGAAAAATTTGATCTGTTGTAGGATTAAAATACATACTTATTGGAACGGATGATAATGGAACTCAAACCATCAAACAAAAGCCCTGTTTTTTCTAGACTGGACATAGGCAATAGCAGTCCGTGCTTTTGCAGACACTTTGAGGTTTTGGAAACGCTACACCTAGTTGAAGTTGAGGCAATGTTCTGGCAATGCTGTGCCTTTTGCTAAGGCAACTTCTTGGTCTGGGGTTTTAGGAAAAAAAGGACTTTTTCATTTACAGTTTTTCTTGTGTGTATATACAACCACTCGGCTAGGTAGCTCTGTGGTTTTGTTACACATACAGCTACCGAGATCTGCTTTGCTTTGTTTTCTCAGTAAAACGCTTAGTGTACAGCTCCCTTCAGCCTAGTCATACGCTACGGCATTAAGCTTTATTCATGTATTCCAGGCTTCTTTATGAAACTTCTGGCCCTGTGTATTATACTTTTTTTGGATCAGAGGGTCTTGTATCCCTTTTTTCTCTGTTGGACAGCTTTGTTGCAGTAGACTAGAAATGAAATGGGAAGAAGGCAGTGAATTAAATACATTTTTCAAAACAGCACAGGAAAAAGAATCTTCTTTGAAATGTTGACTATGTTTTCATAATATTGGAAACACATCCTTTTTTTTTGCTGGTCCTTTTTTGTATTTTTACTGACATGCTAATTGTAACCTTTAGCTCAGTACTGTTTTAACAAACAATGATCCTGTGAAGCATAAGCACATATGTTAGCAAACAGTAGCAAAGGCTTACAGTAACTCTTTAACGAAAGAATAAGCAACCTCATTACGCTCCTTTTAGAAGACTCTCTCTAGGGAGGTGTCGGCCCCATCGACTGTTCAACTTTTCACTTGAACTGAATTTCCGTACGCTGGGCTCTGCACAGAGGCATATTTTAGCTGTGACTGCTTACAATGCCTTTAGAAGAGGTGGTGCTTGTAACGCGTAGGATTGCAAAGTACGCGTCTGTGAAAATTCTGCTTGACGTTAGAATTGTTGGCGTATCTGATGGAGTACGTTTATTAGTCTCTATAAAGTGATGTTTCTGCTTGTGACTTTACGTTTCAACCCCTAAGATTGAATAATTGAAACAGAAAGAACGTAGGTAAATTTTAATTCACTTCAGCTCTGTTAAACCTCGGGGAACTCTGCTACAAGTGAAGAACGCTACTTTAAACTTAGAATTTAACACCATGTGTTTAGTGTGGATGTGGGCTGTTAGTAAATGCACTTGATCATTTACTGCTCCTCTGTTGAGAACGATTGTTTTCATTGCAGACAACAATTATTTGGATGAAGTATGTATTTTGTAAATTTTAATGTGTAGTTACACAAAATATCCGCGCTAATGTTTGCCTTTTCAATTTGAGTGCTATATGTACAGGTCTGTTCCCCAGCCATAAAGTTGAATGTGAACTGCTCTTGAGTAGAGGTTTTGGTCAACACTCACCTGAATAAAACCTGTAAGTAGGGCTCTAAGCTGAACAACAACTGTAGGTAACTTACTGGACTTCTAAATCCTTTTAGTCCTTGTGGTTTAATTTCCTCTTTTAAGTTGTTGGTTCAGTAAGTTTAGTCAAGAACAGATATTAACGCTTTTTGCAAGAAGCAAGGTGATATATACTAAGTTGCTGAACTTACAAAACAGGATCAGAAAACTGGATCTGACCCCTGTCTGTCAAGAGAGGTGCAAGTGTTACACGCTCGGTGCTGCCTGCAGCCAGGCAGCCTCCCGCACTGCGCTCGTCACAGCCGCCCGGGTGACCGTGTTCTGTCCCAAACGCTGTTCCACGTTGGTTGTTTCTCTTTGAAGGCGTTTTGACCCAGCACTGCAGTTCTTGTATAAAAAAGTCCGTGACAGCCAGGCGTTGGGGAGGATTCACCGGATATCAGCGATTAGCAGCATATATCCGGCAGCTTCTCTTAGCTTCCTAAAAAAGTCAGGTACTGAGCAGCTTTCTTCTATTCCTTTGAGAATAAATTTTTTGGAAGTTTACTTGCCCCATGTTCTAGCAGAAAGTTCCTTCTGTTTGTGTGTTCCTAAGACGCATGTTTTCTTCTTTTGAGGAGTATTTTCTTTACTAACCTTTCTTTCTGTTGCGTGAGTATTTCTGTCTACTCTTTGTATTAGCTTTTGTTTTGGGGGATTTTATTGTATTGGTCTCAGTGCAGTTCAGAAATGTAAATTTACTGTGGGTTTTAAATATGAAGACCTTAATGCCCAGTTTTGCTTCTTCTAGGTGGAATTTTTTATAATGCTGCTGTGCATGACATAGATGTTATCAGTTTGTTGTTGGGAGAGAGTGCACCAGATACAGTATTTTCACTGGGACATGCGTTCTGTGCAGGTAAGACTAAGCATGTGGAAAATTTATTCTGTACCTTTTGAACTTTTCAGTTATTTCATATTTCAGTACTAAGACTGGAAAAAAAGACTGCATGGTAGCCATGACATAATTATTCCATCACAGAACTGTTGAAAAAATAGTCTAGTGAAATAGAAGACAAATGTCTAAAGAATTTGTTGTAGACTGAGTGTTTGGTGATTATTTGTGAATTTGGTCACTTCCCTGCTGCTGTGAAATGATTGCTGTAGCGATATCACTGAACTGTATCCTACAAAGACCTGAGGGATGCAAGTGTTTGCCATTTAGAAGCCAGCATGCAGAAGACAACTAGCAAAGCTTTATGCTCACGCCAATGTTAATGCAGTCTTTTCAGTTCTTTGGTTGAATTTAATTTAAGCTGATGAGCTTTTTGTGGGTTACAAGGTTAATCTCGACCAACTGTAAAACTGGAAGCTGACAGTTTTTACGTGGAAATGCTAAATTTTAAGGTAAATTTAAAGTTGGTTTGAGGTATGATATGCAATGGTCTAGTCTAAGGTAAAGCATTGCAATGCAACAAACAAAATGCCACAGGGAAGAATTTGTACAGTCTGCCTCATACTAAGTGCTGAAAATTGCCTAATCTTGGCCATAAAAGTTGCAAAAGCCAATGCGCGTGAAAGAAGAAATGGAAGTCCTTAGCGAAAGCCGTGGGCTTGGTTTGTGGAGGTCAGATGCAGGGACTACACCTTTCTCTGTTCTGACTGAGAAAGGTCAACCAACCGGTGTATGCTGCCATATGCGCTTTGCCATCTTCCGTGCTTTTTGTTTGAAGGTATTCTAGAGCCAGCGTTGCCTCTTAAAGGAAGTAAAACAGTTTGTTGTAGCAGCTATTTGCTGGTTTGCTGTTCCTGGTATGAGTGAGCGCCTTTTTTGTCACTCAGATATGGCCTACTTGAAGGATGCAGACACTGTAGCAGTCAGCATGAAATTTCCTAGCGGAGCAATTGTTACTTTGGACGTCAGTCAGCACTGCACTAAAAGCTGTGATCAGAGACTAGAGGTGCGTTCTTATTTTTAAGTTAAGTCTCTTAAGATGCCACAGGCTAGAGTAAGTTTTCCCAAGTGTATGTTTACATGGGAAAAGTGTGTTGTGCCCCAAGCATATACCTGCAAATACACTTTGCAAAATAGCTCCGTACCTCAGAAACAGCAGCGGTGGATTGCTTGTAATAGCTATTTAAGCTACAATCCACTCTATTGTGCTATCCCAATCTTGCCTCTGTTTACATGCCTTCTCCTGGAGTTATAAGCTACATGCAATCATACTAGAGCAGGAATTGTCAGCTCTCTTGAGGCTGAAATGTTACTACACGGTTGATTTGTTGCCTTTCCAAAATGTTCTAGGAGTAAAGCAAGCCAAGAGTCAGGGTCTCACAAACGTCAAGGATATTAAAGGAGAGGAAAAGTATAAACTCAGAGGCTTATTGTCTGTGAATTCCTGAAGTCATGAATTATAACACGTGTGGGTTGGATTTGGGGAGTAATATCTGTTATATCTTAAAAAAAGGCGGGGAGGGGCTTTGCTTGGTCAAAAATAATTGAAATATTGCAGAAGCAGAGGCCACCGTACTATGTTTGCGAGTATCTTCCATCACGATTGATCCATAAAAGAGGATATATCAGTTGTGGCTACTCATTTTAGGAGCTACTTTTCTACTTGGTGATACAAACCGGAGTCTTTTGTAGACTAGTTAGCTTTCTGAGATCAAAAATAATGGTAATTTTAAAAACTTTGTTCTCCTTCCTCTTTGTTTTCTCCCTTGCAGGTTCATGGTTCTCAAGGAACGTTACGGGTAGATAATCAGAATCCCTTGGGAATTACGGAGCATGGAACTTCTGTATCCATCTACTCACAGACGCAAGCCGATCGTTACAGAGATGCACACAGAGAGCTCTTTCGACACTTTCTTAGAACCCTGAAAGGTAAGGCAAAGCTTAAACTTATGGCTAATACTGGTTTAGATTTGCTTTCAGCCAAAGCTTGACTTGGAAGTTGTTGCAATAGCAGTTGCAATTTGGTGTTAGCGTCTGAAATCCTGAGGAAAAAATGAGTAGATGTGACATAAAGTAAATATGTTCTGTTGAAGTTGACTGCGTTCGAGAAGAATGCAGGATTTTAGTTACAGGAGCAGGAGAAGGAATAGAAATATTTTCCTGTTAAAATCTGAGGAACGAAAGAGTAGAAAAGACAACCCTTTAACTTTTGATGTGGGAGGCTGTTGCCATTTTTAATGATTAAAAAAATTCTGTTCAGTTGACTGGCACTTCCTGGCCGCAGGGGGTCCTCTCGCACCAGACACTGGGCGAAGAGGCAGAAGAGGCGGTTCC